AAAAAGACAACATTCCCCGTTGTGGCATCTGTCTTTCATGGCTTCATTTTTTTGGCAGATATGGCACTGTGTGCGCATTCCAGTTTTTAGCTCTAGTTCATTGGTTGGAGGTTGGAGTGAAGGATATTCCATTCCAGGTGAGTTCCAAAATCCAATCTATGAGCATCCCGATGAAAATTTTGACAATTTTGACAGTCATCACGAGTTTAATTCATTTCAAATCAATTTAAAATCACGTGACAAAATATCTATATGCTCGCGAATGGATATTGGAACGCAAGGAAAGAGCACTAGTACTTAACTTGAAGTTAACTTTTTGAATTACATGTAATTCCAGAGGTTAACTTTAAGTTAACTCTCAAAGTAGTTTTATAATACCCGCAGGTTGAACATCGAACATCTTTAGCTAAAAATTCGGAATTTAGTGATCCGCGAACTGCGGATGCGAATAGATCTGGATGAACAGAACACTGATCGAACAGAACCATCACATTGGACGTGCACTAGGCATCAGCTAGATCTACTCTAAGCAGATGTATAGTATTTTTAATACCCATTTAGAATAACCCTATCCTTATTTATCAATCACGAATCAGATAAAACAAAAAATTACCAACAAAAACGAACGTCGAATGCTAATACGTCAATTTCATGTACTAATTTTATTTGTGTGTTCGAAAAGCGACATACGCTTAGTCACTAGAACAACTGGTAATTCTAAATAGGTATTAAAAATTCTATACTCCTACGACGTTTTCAATTATTAGCACTAAGGGTGGATTTTCATGCATCCGTTTTTCCGACGAAATATGTCCGAAAAACATTCTATTCTGACATAATTGTATATAAATATGTCAAAATAGAATGTTAAACGGACATATTTCGACGGAAAAACGGATGCATGAAAATCCTCCCAAACGAAATATGTCCGAAAAGTCTTCTATTTTGACATATTTATATACGATTATGTCAGAATAGAATGTTAAACGGACATATTTCGTCGGAAAAACGGATGCATGAAAATCCTCCCTAAAGCTTAGTACTCATAACTGCGAAATTCGCATTTTTTTGACATTGCTTCGACAATTTGACGTTTGATACACGCATAAAACGTCAAATTGTCAAAAAAATGCGAATTTCGCAGTTATGAGTAGGTACTAGGCTTAAGGGTGGATTTTCATGCATCCGTTTTTTCCGACAAAAGATGTCCGAAAAACATTCTATTCTGACATAATCGTATAAAAATATGCCAAAATAGAAGATTTTTCGGACATATTTCGTCAAAAAACGGATGCATTAAAAGTAAGCTTAATGCGCATTGACACAGGCATTGAGGTCAACACATAAGTTGTATTTCTTTCACACCTAGGAGGAACTCCGGAACAGCTCCGGGGCTTTACGCGCTTATTTCTTTCGAAAAGTGTTTGTTTCACCAAGCATCTGTTCCCTGCAAATCGGGGGCTACTAAACACCGGAGCGAGTATCTCGGGTGTTTCAAACTCATGAAAGGAATACAACTATAGTGGTGAAACCTGAGCCGCTTTCCAGTATGGGAGTGTGACGCCCGGAGCTACTCGGAGCGTTGAGCTCCCGAGCTGTACGTACGCGTCAACCTGTCAGCTGTCACATCCGTGGGTGGCTATTTATTTATTTATTTATTTATTTCTTGTTATATCTCGAGATTGAACATTTTCAAGATATAGTTTTGATTCTCTGTCATTATTGATAAATTAAAAAACAAACTGCACAAACTTAGACAAGGAAAGAGAGGGGACTCGTATCACAGCAGGTGAAAATGAAGTTTGCCACCAAAAAATGTCTGCTTTTTTCATAACATAACCTAGAAAGCATATTGTTTTTTGCCTGTTAAATGTAATCCCGTCGACTTTTTTTTCTCTGCGGGTTTTGCAGCCATATGCTAGCAATCCACCATGCCGAATACCACAAAAATGTTAGTCTGAAGTAAAATTCACATATTGACACCATGAAAAATTGTCGCCATTATTTGGTGGCAATCGGTCACAACCAAAGGTCACAACCACAACCAGCTGCTAGTGCAGGTAAAGGATGTTACGCGTCCTATGAGCCGCTTTCCAGTATGGGAGTTTGACGCCCGGAGCTACTCGGGGCGTTCGAGCTGTACGTACGCGTCAACCTGTCAGCTGTCACATCCGTGGGTGGCTATTTATCTATTTATTTCTTGTTATATCTCAAGATTGAACATTTTAAAAAATATAGTTTTGGTTCTCTTTCATTTATGATAAATAAAAAAATAAACTGCACAAACAGATAATTATTTTTAAAATTTGACATATTTGACACTAAGACAGGCGTCTCACGCCATGATACTGGAACGGTACAAATCTAGTGCGTGGCGCCCCCGAGGTGCTCTAGAGCGCGCCAATGTGCATACTGGAAAGCGGCTCTCTGGTCAGGCGTCTCACGCCATGATACTGGAACGGTACAAATCTGCCCTCCGATTCTATTTTACGAGTCGAGTCGAATTATCTCGATATCGAATATGACAGCTCCGGATTTACCGTAGGTATTGATAAATCGGAAAATAGAATCGCTATTTTGACAATTCGATACGAACTTCGACTCGACTCATGAAATAGAATCCGGCAGCGGATGGGTAGCGCCCCCGAGGTGCTCTAGAGCGCGCCAATGTGCATACTGGAAAGCAGCTCGGTGTATGTGTTTGATTGGAAAATCAGGGCAATGATTTTTGCTCCGAGTGCAGTTTAAATTATTTTTAAATATCAATTTATTCCTTTTAAGCTTTCGGGTAGAGATCTAGAATAGTGTCTTCTGAACGAAATGAATAAGTGCAACTGAATTTACTGAATCTGAACATAGCAATCACCTCAGTTGTCTCTGTTTGTTTACATTCTTTGTAAATAAACGAAGTAATCGGCAATCTGAGGTTGTGCTTGAAAGGAAAGTGGACAACAAACTTCCGTTCACTTTATTCAGTTTAGCAGGTGGAGTGAGGGAACTGACCGCAAGAAGAAGCCACAAATGAACGCAATCAGCATCAGATAGTGAAAGTAACAGTTTGTTCAGAACGAAAGAATAGATCATCTAGAATACACAAACGAAAACCCCCATAATAGTTGAGTTCGGAATGGGATTAGTTGTATTCCTTTCACACCTAGGAGGAGCCCCGACACAGCTCCGGGGCTTCACGCGCTTATTCCTTTCGAAAAGTGAATAGTTGTATTCCTTTCATACCTAGGAGGAGTTCCGGAACAGCTCCGGGGCTTCACGCGCTCATTCCTTTCGAAAAGTGTTTGTTGCACCACGCATATGTTCCCTGCAAATCGGGGGCGACTAAGCACCGAAGCGAGTAGCTCGAGTGTTTCAAGCTCTTGAAAGGAATACAACTTTTGTAGCACTACGCATCTGTTCCCTGCAAATCGGGGGTGTCCAAACACCGGAGCGAGTAGCTCGAGTGTTTCAAACTCTTGAAAGGAATACAACTATTTTAGTGCAGTGCTAGTGCGGTGTTCGTGTAGTGCAGTGTAATATCACGTGATGAAGAGGTGAGTTCGGAATGGTTAAAAGTGTCGACACTTTTTACACTATTGACACTCTGTCATTCGTTAATTATTCGGAGCTTGGTGTACACTTTGTTTGCGTTTGGAAATAGTTTTTTGTCCAAATGGTGTTACGGTGGTGGGACACCGTTTACTCGGTACAAAATGATGGTGTATTCGGTTTTACACCACCGATTACACCTTCATCACGTGATATAACCCTGCACAACACGAACACCGCATTAGAACTGCCCTAAAATCCCATTCCGAGCTCAACTAAGGTGTAATCGGCGGTGTAACACCAAATACATCATCACTTTGTAACGAGTAAATGGTGTCCCACCATCTTTACACCATTTGGGCACCGAATCATTTCCAGACGCAAATAAAGTGTACACCAAACTTACTCCTACCAATTAAAAAGGCCCGTATTCATAATCAGCTCAAGGTTGCGTCTTGGCTCAAGTACGACTTGACGCCATATTTGCGTTTCCAAACAGCACGGAACGATGCTCACAGCTGTCAAAAATCGGAGCTTGAGCCAAGCACCCGACTAGCCTAGTACTCATAAAGCCTAGTACTAATAACTGCGAAATTCGCTCTTTTTTGACATTGCTTCGACAATTTGACATTTTATGCGTGAATCAAACGTCAAATTGTCGAAGTAATGTAAAAAAAAGCGAATTTCGCAGTTATGAGTACTAGGCTTAACAGCGAAATTCGTTTTTTTTTGACATTGCTTCCACGATTTCACGTTAAATGCGTGATTCAAACGTCAAATTGTCGGAGCAATGTCAAAAAAGAGCGAATTTCGCAGTTATAAGTACTAGGCTTATGAATACTGGGCTAACAAACGCAATGTCAATAGTGGAAAAAAAAATAGAAAGTGTCGACACTTTCTACTATTCCGAGACGCTTTCCAGTATGAGAGTGTGACACTCGGAGCGTTGAACCCCCGTGCTATACGTACGGACAAACGTCACACGTCATGATACTGGAACTGTACAAATCGCGTGCGTAGCGCTTCCGGGGTGCTCTAGAGCGCGCCAATGTGCATATTGGAGCTGAGTTCGGAATGGGATTTTAGTGTAGTGCTAGTGAGTGCGGTGCGGTGTTTGTGTATACTGTATAGCAGTGTTATATCACGTAATGAAGAGGTGGGTTCGGCTTGCTCACTCCGTGCACTCCGAGTGTATCTATTCGCACTCCAGCCGTTCGGGTTAAGATTCGGGTATTGTTTCTTACCGTATTAGGGGTGACTCCATTAGCTTTGTTCACTCCACTTCAACTCCGCTCTGAATAGCCGAACCCAGCTATAGTGTAATCGGCGTGTAACACCGAAGCATTGAGGTAGAATAATATTCTATTATTATTATTATCCTAATTCTAAAATTTTATATTCTACCTCAATGCACCGAATACACCATCATTTTGTATCGAGTAAACGGTGTCCCACAATCCAGGCACCAAATTATTTTCAAACCAAACCTCAATGTTCCAAATGCAAATAAAGTGTACAGTGTTAAGTGTATACCAAACTTACTCCTACCAATTAACGAACGCCACAGTGTCAATGGTATAAAAAGTGTCGACACTTTCCATCATTCCGAACTAACCTTGAAAAGCAACTCTGAACTCACACGTCACGTCACAGATTGTCACTTCACTGTTATAAGTTTGAGGTTATTTTCTTATTTACTTTGAAGTTTAAAATTATAAAAAATAATTTTAATTTGATTTGTGTTCAGTCTCAGTCCAGGTGTATAATTAATCATTTTTAATGTTTCAACAATCTGACTAATCATCAAATAACAAGTTCAATTTCCTTCGAAAAAATTATGCCCGTTCCCGTAGAATTCCAGGCCGTCGTCCTGGCAGCTGGCAAAGGATCTCGTATGCTAGAAATCACATCGGGCCATCCCAAGTGCCTGTTGCCAGTGGGCCCCAAACCTCTTATCTGGTACACTTTGAGAAAACTACAAATCACCGGATTCAACGAAGCCATCCTGATCGTTTTGGAAACACAAAAGGCCGAAATACAGAGCGCAATCGAACGGGAACTGGAAGGTAACTCGCTGGATATTAAAGTTGATTATGTCTCGATTGCCGAGGACCAAGAAGATTTGGGTACTGCTGATAGTTTGAGGCTGGTACAAGAGAGACTGAAATCTGATGTGCTGGTAGTTTCTTGTGATTTGGTTAGTGATGTTAATCTCGGCGGGGTATTGAATTTGTTTAGAAAACATAATGCTTCAATTGCTTCTCTTATGTTCTACCATCAAGCTAGTGAACCGATTGTGGTGCCTGGCCCAAAATCCAAACACAAACCAGAAAAAGACTTGATTGGCATTGACGAACAAACTCAGCGTTTGGTTTTCATGGCTTCAGTCAGCGACTTTGAATCCCAAGTCACTCTACCTTTAAGCCTCCTTAAAAAACATACTCTTGTAAAAATGTACAGCACCTTAATTGATTCACACGTCTATGTGCTTAAAAATTGGGTTATTCAATATTTGAAAAGTGAACGGAGTATTACCTCATTAAAAGGAGAATTGATTCCTTATATTGTTAAGAAACAGTTATCAAAACCTCAAAAAATTGACGAAGTTAATCAGTCAATAATTAACACTAAGGACAGTAATGATATATTTAGTTTTGCTGAAGAAGACGAGCTTGAGTTAGCTATTAGAGAAATTTCTTCATTTAATGATCATAATGGAGACCTAAAATCAAGTTATAACAATGACCCAATAAGATGCTATGCCTATATAGCTCCTAAAGGCTCTATAGGCCTTAGAGTAAATACTTTACCCGCTTACTGGTCTATAAACGGAAAAATACAAGAAGTATGGAATAAAGTTTCCATAAACATGAGTTTAATCCAAAAAAGCCCCCAGGCCAACATACAATCGAACCAAGTAGACGATAAATGCATTATATCGGATGGAGCCAAATTAAATGAGAAAACATCATTTAAAAATGCCAACATTGGAACCAACACGACAGTCAACAGCTTCAGTCGAGTATTCAACAGCATAGTAATGAACAATGTCATGATACATGAAAAGGTTGCATTGGAAAATTGCATTGTGTGTGATAATGCTGTTATTGAAAAAGGTAGCAGTTTGAAGAATTGTATTGTAGGGAATAATCATTTGGTTCAAGCTGAAAGTGAATGTACCAATGAATTATTAACAGAAGATTTGATGCATTTTTGAATTTTTTATGTAAATAATATATTATGTTTTTGTCTCATGGGTGGTTATATTATTTTAATTAGGTGGTTGGTATTAACACAGAATTTGTTTTCTTGTGTTTTGGGACAAGAAAATGAAAATACATACATGACTATTCTATTCTTTGGCCAATAGGCTCCTTGCATCAAATTTTTTTATTGCTGATTTCGATAGTCCATGAAAAATAAATCAATACGTGTTTTTTCTTTTGCTTCTTAGTCAAAAATTAACGGAGATACAACACTATGAAATCTGCCTGTGACGTCACTTATCTAATAAATAAGTGATGTTGCACATGCTCAGTATATCTATATATACAAAACTTAATATTTGAATAACTTCCGGAATAATCATATTTGGGCGAATAGGTTTCAAATGTATAGTTTACTGAAGAAAAAAATCTCTTGTTTACCACACTAGTTGCTTGGTCCGGCTTGCTTTTTGTACCGCAGTAAACAATGTTACCGAAATAATGTAACAGTGTATCTAGATCTTGTCCTCTTCTTTTGATAGCGGATTCTTGCTTTGCTGGTTTTCCTGCTTGGATCCGTTTAACTCCTGGGGTTGAACCAGGTCGCAGTTTCCATCTGGATACTGAAGTAGGTTGACCCTATTTAATCGCATTGTTCGCGATTCGTGAACATTGTGACATATATCAGCCACTACAGATGAATGTTGCTCATCGTTTCCAGGAGCCTCGGGCGTATAAGACAGTGAAGCCTCTCGGTATATGTATTTCTTGGCAGAAGGGTATGTATGTATCTTACGATCCAGTTTGAAGCAGTGCACGCACTACACTTTTCCATCCGTTTGTCACACCATTGTCCATATTTGAAGTTATCAGACTCCTCTTCCACCTTTTGGCTTTCACAAACATTATGTAGCTCATTACACGTGTAGAGGCAAACAGAAATACAACCATGAAGCTTGCCGAACCCATCGACATGCGAAGCAGATACACTATCCTATCCTATGATCATGATATCGTCTTTGTAGTCAAATTTAACGATTAGGTTTTTTTCGTCACAAACTAGGTAATTTCATCTCATTTAAAACTGTTGCTTTCGATATGGCGTATCGCGTATATTTGATGATTTATCAATTAATTTCAATTCAAACTTCAAACAAAACTCAATAAACAATTCCTTAAGTTATACTCATATACAAAAATCAATATACAAATCCTATGCACTATTAGTTGCTGCATCCTTATCCCTAGCACCAGCACCGTTCTCCTCTTCTACCGCAGCATCATTCCATTCTATTGACTTTTTGATAAATATTCACGAAGGCTGGGAACCAAGTGTACGTTCAAATCCCAACTTTCGACATTCCACTTCGAGCCTCTCCTGTGCGATTTTTAGCGTTTTTTTTACAGAGTTCTAAATTTTCTTTTTGAACCATCAAAAGCTCCTCGAGCAAATTTGGAACTTCGGCATTATTATTGGCTTACCATTAGCAATCACACCTTCTTGTCCGTTTTTTTCATTATGCAAAAAAAAGGCGTGTTGTTACCTCGGTTGTTACTTATCGTCATCGTGGCTTTTTGTTCAGGATCAGGCGTCGTCACTAGCTTGGTGGTAGGAGTTGGCAAATAATTTTTTTGCTATTTGTATCCTGGACATCGACAAAGGTTGAGTTGAAGTTGATACTACAGGTTCATGGGCGATTTTGGGGGCTATTTCAATCGTGGGGACTATAATTATAATTTTGTCGTTGTCCATGAGGATAATGGTTGACGGCATGAGCATGAGCCCTGGTTCCTCGAATTCGACTTTCATACTGGAATAGTAGGCATATAGTAGGTACCTACCTACCGTTGTCAAATACGAAAATTATTGGAATGTTTTCGAAACTTTCAATTGATTATTAAATTTGAAACAACTCATGTACCTATTTATTTATTTATTTTTCTTTTATTTATTTGTTCTACACTACAAACAGTGTTGCCAGGTCTACTGATTTATCAGTAGATCTACTGATTTGCCCACTGATATACTGATATCAATGTAAATTCTACTGATAAAAGCCATTCCCATTATTTACCTGCGTTCGTGCGTGTTTGTGTTGTGTCTTGTTGTCTTATTTATTTGCCTTTTGCCTTGCCAGTTGCCTAAAGGCATGCGTTATTGTTGGTTAGTCTTAGTCAAGAGAGATATCGGTAAAACAGATAGCGCGTATAAACGGTAACAACGTCAGGAGTTATTTTTTTTTTCAAGTAAAGCGGTATCATACTTTCAAATTAGAGTTATCGGAAAACAGTTTAACGTAAAATTTGCCTGTTGGCATCCGTTATTTTATAACCGTAGCCTAACTTGTACCTTGCTGTCATTTGATTTCTGTTGTCGGTTGTTTATGGTCAGGGACAGAGGATTTGCTTTTTCACTATTTTTTGAACAATCCATATTCACTTGAACACAGCAAAAATAATAAAATAAACAAGGCCGTGGCTAAAGTAACAGAGGTGTTACTATAATTATTTTTTTAAAGTAACATCAGTTCAATGACGTCACTGATGTTACTTTTAATAGGGGTTATAGTAACAGAAGTGTTTACTCTAATTATTTTCTTGAAGTAACGTCAATATAGTAGCAATATATAGAAAAGAAAGGTAGGTACTTTCTTTAGCAATTTAAACTAAGTAAAGGTGATATTCAACAACATAACAATATTTTATTTTTTATACACCAAAAATTTGAATCAACATATTGATAATACAAATCTTTTGTGAGAAAAACGGCGTCTCCATATTCCTATTCCTCACATGCCCTTACAAAGGAACGGAAGTGTAGGTATAGTTCTCTCCTGCAGGTCAAATTCGATTGTTTACCTTTTTATGAGTGTGCAAAGTGAAAATTCAGTTTTCCATTTTTAATCATTAGCGGTATAAAATAATGGCCATCAACTTCAAGCATTTTTTTTCAGCATATGAAGATAGGTAATTTCTTAATTTGGAGCTAAAACTATGATAATCTACAGCGAAAAAACTTCTGCCTAGGAAGGAAAATAATTTACTTTCCTCCATAGGGAGTGCGAAATTACTATTTTCCTACCTGAAAAAAAGGTAACAAATTGTCACTTTCTGACAGTCATAAGAAAATGTGTCTTTCCTGCCGCCTATAATAAGTATTCTATTCTATTCTTCAGAGTCAAGTCAGGTTATTTTTTATTTATTTCCATTTTTACTCTAAAACAAATGCCAAGAACCAAGAATATCACCTTTACTTTAAATTGCTAAAGAAAGTAATTACCTATCTACATATTGCTATATTGACGTTACTTCAAGAAAATAATTAGAGTAACACCTCCGTTACTATTAACCCCTATTAAAAGTAACGTTTTCATCAGTGACAACATTGAATTGATGTTACTTTAAAAAAATAATTATAGTAACACCTCTGTTACTTTAGCCACGGCCAATAAACAAACATAACATAACCTATTATTCCACGGCGTTATTTTTAGACGTTATTCGAAATAGCGCTTAACGTAAATGCTGGGTAAATTACGTTATGCGGTAACGTTATTTTAGTAGGTACCTAGTGTTAAAAATCGAATCGCGCATAGCTTTAATGTCAAAATAACGTAGGCGCTAATACTGCATGACACTATTTGGGTTACCGATATCTCTCTAATAAGTCACATAGCGTTATGTTGTACAACTAACGGCAGCTTGTTTTACCTGTTTTTATGAGACTAAACTACTGCATAGGTACTCCCATTTGAAAAAAACTGAATGCATGCAACATTTCACATTTCTGACATTCAATTTTTGTTTCTGACCACGGATTCTAAAAATTTAGCCAATACTGTACAACTTTTGTATTTACACCTTTGATCTACTTGCAAAGGTGAAGGCTGGTAGATGGGATATCAATATATAAAAAAACACTCTGTACTTGAACAATAACTTATTATATAAAGTCAGAATCTGTAAGATTATCCACTTTTTGTCATTTCGCCTTTCAACAGGAATTAGTAATGTTACAGCGAGTTCCGCAGCCATCTATTCATCAATATGTTGTTCAATTACGATATTGTGGCGTTCGCCAGGCTGTCAAGAATCTTTGGCATTCCCTCTTGAATATACTAGAATCTAGCGAATTATTCTAGTTTAATAGGGAAAATTAAGATTTTCGTGTGTATTCTAGATTTTACAGGAATAGATTTAGGAATATATAAGAAGGCCGGCATTGGTTTGTAAGTTAAGTTTCAATTTGACTGTGATACGATTTAAATAGTGATTATTGCGAGTTGTAAGAGTTTAATTGTTGAGTTAGTTATTAAAGTAATTAGTGTCAGAGTGTATTGTTGAGTGGAATAAATTATTGCTGTGTTAATTGGACTTTGATTTTTGGAATAAACGAAACGAACCCAAGATTTCTGTCAGGCAACCCAAAGCCGTGACAATTGGTGCCAGAAGTGAGACATAAAGGACTGCAGAGTGAAATCCAATTGCGGAAGTGCGGGGACACTAGTGTAGTGTAAAAACTGAACACTAAGTGAACACTGGGACAGTTTTTCAGTGCAAACAGTGACAATCACAAAAAGAGACTTAACCGATCATGTAAATTACTCCGGAAGTGACTCTGTACCCGATTTTGACTGTGTGGTGAATCTTCGAGTGAGTTCTAAAAAATTCTATTTGGAAATTAAGGGAGATATCGAATTTGTGACTTCGCCGATGTATTCGGAACATCAATCGGCATTCACAAAAAGTTTTTCGAGGAGTTTCGTGAAAATTCTAGAACATTCTATTTGGAAACTAAGGGAGATATCGGAATTGTGACTTCACCGGCGTGTTTGCTGTATCAATCGACATCTAGAGGGGAGGTTCCAGGAAAGTTCCAGAACATTCTATTCTAGAATAAAGCAAGTTATCCAATTTGTGACTTCACCGGCGAGTTTGGAACTTCGAGCAAAGACCAGAAAAGATATTTGAAGAAAGTTCGAGGGAAATTCTAGAACATTCTAGGGAAATTCTAGAACATTCTGTATATGCCTATCACAAGACAACAAGCCAAAATGGACGAACAAAAAGTTGAAGAACTTCTGCGCAAAATGTTGGAACTTCAAGAGACCAAACGACAACAAGAAAAGCAAGACGAAGAAGCTAGACGACAACACGAAGAGGCCAGACGACAAAAAGAAAAACACGACGAAGAACTCAGGCGACAAAAAGAAAAACAAGAAGAAGAAGCTAGACGACAACAAGAAGAAGCTAGGCGACAACAAGAACGGCAATAAGACCTTGGAAAACTGCAGAAGATATTCCAAACCATACAAGGAACTGTCGCTAACCTAGACCAGAAGATTGAAAAAGTTAAAGACGATGTGCAAGAAGCTAACACGACGTCCAGGAAGTAAAAACTGAAGTCAAAATCGATGTTCAAGAAGTTAAAGACGATGTCAGAGAAGTTAAAAACGACGTTCAGGGAATAAAAGCTGAGGTCAAAGCCGATGCAGCAATTAAGACAAGAAGTTGAGGACCCAAGTTCATGCACTCGAAGATAAGATGCGTAGATTAGAAATACAGTCCATCAATCCAGCTAGTGTTGGAGCATTCTCCAGTATGAAGATAAAACCACCAACTTTTGACGGTTCTACGTCCTGGACCACGTATATTCGACAATTTGAAGCTGCTGCAAATACCAACGGATGGAACGATCAAGAAAAAGCTACAGCACTGATAGTGGCGCTACGAGGACCTGCCTTAGACCTTCTTCAGTCCATTCCTTTAGTCTACTAACAGAATTATCAGCATCTAAGTCAGACTTTGGAATTGCGCTTCGGAGACCATTACAGACAAGAAGTATTCAGAACTCAAGTTAAATCAAGAGTTCAAAAACCCGGCGAGAGTCTACAAGAATTCGAATCGGAAGTTAAAAGGCTAGTGAGTTTGGCGTTTCCTGCAGCTGGGGAAGACATGCAAGAATGGATGGCAGTATCTGCGTTTATTGATGGTCTCAGAGATTCGAAGATCCAGGAAAACCTGAGAATGTCTAAGTTCAGACAAAGTAGCGAAGCCCTTGTCCGAGCATTAGAACTGGAAGCAATCTTTGGTGCCTCAACACCCAGAATACGAGCAGTGTCCATTCAAGACCCAAAGGATGAACAAACGTCTAAAGAAGATGGTAACTTCAAGAATCTTATGAGTAAGTTCACGGAGAAGATGAAGAAACTATTACTATTACTGGAAGGTAGACAACTGGGAAACGACTCCAAACAGACACCAACACCGAGAAACCGAGTAAAATGTTACCGGTGCCAAAAGCTTGGACACATGCAATGGGATTGTAGACTAAGGATGTCCTCTCCATCTAGGGATCGTTCCCAAAGCTTTTGGAGGTCCAGAGACGCTAGTCCTAAACATCGACCTGGAAACCCGCATGAGAAGAACACTAGTCCAGCTGTGAGAAGAACGGGCCTGATCGTTGATGACAAGTGGACTACGAAACAAATGAGAGAAGATCAGGAAGCAGACCAGGACATCGGGCAGATTCCCCAACTTAAGGAAAATGATGAATGTAAGCCAGAATGGAGGGAAGTGTCGAACAAGAGCTTGATTCACAAGGGGTTGTGGGCCCAGTGGAACTCTCTGGCCGTAGAAAATGTTTTGCTCAAAAGAGTTTGGGAAAGTGCCGATGGGAAATCTACTAAGAGCCAACTGGTCATACCAAAAGACCGAGTGGAAGATGATGTATTAAAAGAAATACACGACGGAACTTCAGGGGCACATGTCGGAGTTAACAAGACTTTGGACAAAATTCGAGAACGTTTTCACTGGGTTCACTACCATGAAGACGTTAAAAGCTGGTGCCGAAAATGCGACATCTGTGCTACAAGTAAAGGCCCTAAACTAAGATTTCGGCGGCCCATGAAACAGTACAACGTCGGTCTTCCATTTGAAAGAATAGCGATAGATGTAGCCGGACCGTTCCCAGAGTCAGAGCGTGGTAACAAATACATCTTAGTTATCATGGATTACTTCAGTAAATGGCCAGAAGTTTTCGCTATTCCCAATCAAGAAGCCATCACTGTTGCCCAGGTGCTAGTGGACGAAGTTTTTAGTCGTCATGGTGTGCCACTAGAGTTACATTCAGATCAGGGCCGAAACTTCGAATCTGCCATCTTTAAGAAAATTTGTGAGATCATGGGCATTCGTAAGACAAGGACAACACCTTTATATCCACAATATATCTGATGGCGTGGTGGAACGATTCAATAAGAACATAGAGAAACACCTGACAAAAGTGGTCGCAAGGAACCAGAGAGATTGGGACAAGCATTTGGTGAACAGGTGAAAGTCTGGTTAGAATCATTTTTGGAAGGGAACTCAGGTTACCTTGCGATCTGATATTTGGAGTACTCGAAGAAGAGCCAAAAGAAATTCGAGATTATGCCGACGAAGTAAGGGCGCGACTTCTGGGAATACACGAATTTACTCGGGAGCACATTCAGCTGGCCAGTGACCTAATGAAAACCAGACTTGAAAGCCAATTCGACCGGATTTCAAGAAGGTGATTTAGTGTGGTTGTATAATCCAGCAAGAAAGAAAGGAGTGTCGCCGAAGTTATCTTCAGCATGGGAAGGACCCTACAGAATAATCAAGAGGATCAATGATTTGGTTTTTCGAGTCCAACGCAACACCAGGAGTAAGATGAAAAGTTGTACATCTGGACAAGGTTAACGAAATAGCATGGGCATAAAGTTGAACGGGACGATCAATCTTAAGAGGAGGGCAGTGTAACGGCCGTCAGTGTGTCAAGAATCCTAGGCTGTCGAATACCCTAGAAATTACAGATTCCTATAATCTAGTAATTTCTACTTAATCCGGAAAAGGAGAGTTATCGCGTGTATTCTAGATTGTACATGAATGGATTTACGGCTATATAAAGCAAGCTGGTATTAAGTAGTTTTAAGTTTAAGTTTGATTGTGATATGAGTATTAGATAGTGATTATTGTTAAGAGTTGTAAAGAGTTTAGTTGTTGAGTTAGTAATTATAGTGTCAGAGTGTCATTAGTTACGTGGAATAAAATTATTGCTTTGTAAATTGGACTTTGATTTTGGAATAAACGAACAAGGAACCGAAGATTTCTGTTACGCACACCAAAGCCGTGACAATAAGTTCACACAAGAAAGATTCCATAATACATATTCGAAACGTTTTAAGTTTTCAAATTCTATAGAAGCGTTTTTTTGATATATTAAATATTTATTGTAGAAAAATATTGCTGAAGATCGCCTTTTTTGCTCTTTTTTGAAAGCAAATAGGTATAGCGATGAATTTTTTTTGGAAAAATCGCTCTGTAGGCTGGTAGGTTGAACCCTTGTAAGTTTTTGTTCCAAAAATGAAGTCTGTTATTGCTTCATTGACGCCGTAGTTTGGTTTTTCGTGAGCACTGGTTTGCTGCATTTTTGACTAAAATTATTAAATGCAGCGTTAAAACGATTTATTGTAGTGTAGTTTTGTGTTTCATTAAGCTTAAAAATGCATTTCGCAACTCTCTAGCTTTTCTAGAACTTTCGTCTCGCGGTCTGTGACGAAATAGCTTTTTGCCTGTAGTGGAGCCTTAAGCAAAAACTACTTAAAAAATCACCATTTCGGTCACACCATCAAGACGCAACAATGCAGCCAACAAATCAATGTACCTACCAAAAATCAGTTTTCTTCAAGCACTATACTTTCCCTGTAATTAAATTTTTTCAGGCACAATCGCACACTTTACTGTTTGGTTTACAAAATATGAACATGAACAGCTCAGCAGCAGAATGTTATAATAACTACCTATACCGCTTCTAGAAATTTTGTACTGTACCTACTGCAGTAAAGTAAGAATAATGGATGAGTCCACCATCACTTGAAATACAATACATACCTACCTACCTACTTTGAGACAGATATGCAGGGTAGTGAGAAATGTATGTGGAATACACCATTACTTCGGTAATAACATATATGTTTACTGCGGTAGAGAAAGTAAGCCGTCTGTACCGTGGTAAACAATGGATTTACGCGGCCCGCTGGCACTGTCCCAGGAATTGCTTGTGCAAAAAGAGTCCCACAGGGATCAATTTTGGTTCCCTTGCTGTTTAATTTGTTCCTCACATAGGTATATTTGAAACGCAGCATAAAGTATTGTTAAGTTCATTGTTACATGTTGACCTCTCCTTAATAGACTACCGTGACGCCGTACCTACCTATATGAAATAAGAAGATGGAATCTGTATTTTTCTACAATAGCTAATTTTCGCTAAACAACCCATATTTGTAGGTAAGTACGAAAAGATGCAATTGCAAGGTATGGATGGTCCATGCAAAGAAACTTAGACATACCTACTCCAGTTTCTTTAACAATTCCCTTTCATAGTTCTTAACTTTTTAAAAACAGTTTTTCCTGAAAAGCAGCAAACATTTATATTCAGTTACCAGCGGACATCAAAGCTTCAAGTTTACCACTCATTATTATTTGCAAAATAAACCATTTATTATCAAATCATACAGCCGTTGGATATAGCTAAACTCCTTTAGCAATGACCAAAGATTCTCAGACTTGTTAAATAATAACTTATATTTTAATAAATAAACATTTGCCTTTTATTTTAATTATTGTAACAAAAAATTAGTTCAAAAGAGCTCCAGCTTCTTTATCGACAATCCAATAAACTTCTCCAGCAGTTGGCTGTACTCTTGCAGCAGGCAAGTTTTCCTTGAGCACATGAATCCTCTGAATCATTTCAGCTTTTTCCTTACCAGAAACAGCAAACACACATGCTTTGGCATTATTAATTACTGGAAAAGTTAGCGTAATTCTACTTGGTGGTGGTTTTGGTGAGTCTGTAATTGGAGCTACCCAAGCAGATGTTTCATTTAATAACTCGTGTCCTGGAAAGAGCGAACAAGTATGCCCGTCTGGTCCCATTCCGAGCAATAACAAATCGAATTGTGGTAATAAGGGATTAGCTGGCACAAGATCTTTGATTTGATTTTCATAGGCTTTGGCAGCTTCTAAGGCCGAAACTCCTTGTTTCACAGTCACAAACTGATCTGCGGACAAATTAACTGCACCAGTATCCACAAGTTTTGTCTTGTAAACTCCAAAAGTCGATTCTGGGTCGTCCACAGGCACTAATCGTTCGTCACAGAAAAAGATTTTCCATTTACTAAAGTCGGAGTGGATTTTTGGCAAGCCAGACACAAGAAAGGTTACTAGAGACCCGCCTGATACTCCAACGTTAAAGGAGCCTTTACTTGCTATACTTGAATTAGCTGAGGATTCGATTAATGCACATAGTTCTGTTATAACAGCTTCGCGGTCTTCTACAACTTTCACTACCATTTTAGCACTTGAATTATTCGTTAAATTAATCAGCAGTATAATAATTAATAATGAAATAAGCATGAAAATAATCTAGTTTGTAATTATCAATGGTGTGTTTTTTAACAAATCATTGTATTTTAAACTTGATCTTATGAACCCTTCTACTTGAAATGATACAGGAACCTTGTGGTTGAGGTTGGTTAGGATCTTGTTCCTAACCTAACATCATTAGGTTCTATTTTCTATTACTTTTTATTTATGAGGAAAAGAAAAGGATAACAATTAATGAGGAAAAGAAAAGGATAACAATTACAAATACACAATTCACTACTATGAATTGGTACCACTTCATGCATGAATGATGCACTTAACTTAAGCAAAATTTAAATTGAAGAGGAATGTGTTCTTGGTTTATTTATGTAATTAATTACAAAGAACTTATTTTCATACAGATTTAAATTTATATATTTTCATAAGTTATGGTTAAGATATCACTAGTCCGCAAAATTCCCTTGGATATGATATTCTCAGTGTTCGGTGGCTTCAAGTCTTCAACAATCACATTTTCAAATGTTTGATCGAAAGCACGTATTTGAGCTGTCGCTTCAGCCTTCTGAAACAGCCCTATTTTGCAAGGTTTAGCTAAAATATTCCTAATTATAATATATAAATTTAATGGATAATTAACTTAGTACCAGGTAGTGAGGCAATGAGTAATAAGAATCTTTCTCTCAAAAAAGATGCTGCCTCTTTTTCTTCAGCCGTGAAACTTGGATTTTCATTTTCAGGCATTTTACCTTTAGCATAAAACACTTTTAATCTTTTAAAATGTATAGGATAGGGGGAACTGAAACTGAATGTTTTCAAACACAACAAATATTTTATTAGGTTATGTTATGTTAGGTCACATAAATAAGATGGACCAACCTAAAATCACAAAATAAATACATAATACAATTTCTATTATAAAGTGACTATTTACATGGGTACTAACTAAATTTGATTCAAATTAATCTTAAATATTAAATCCCAAGTCTCTCATACATTTCTTGTGGGCCTCGATAAGATCTCCACAGTATTCTTCGCCTCTTTCAATTATACTAAAACAAACAATATACAATTTTTCTATGAAGAGTTATATACAGGGTGTCCCAAAAAGATACCGACAAACTTTAAGGGGTAGTAGGGGACATCAAAACAAGCATTTTTGTTTATATAAACATATGTCCGCAAATGAGCGATTTGGGCTGTAGAGCAAAAAAACTGTTTGATACTTTTATTCTTCGCAATAATTAAATCACTGTTTACTTATCAATTTTGCTTAATTACCAAATAAATTATGATTTACAATAATTGTTCAAAATGTTGACCATTTACTCCAATGCAAAGATTACACCGTCGGGTCATTGACTGAAAAGTTTAGTCTACGAAACACCTGTTCGTAATGAGGAAGATCTGATAGCAAGGATACTGGCGAGTTGTACCCATGTAGAAGCTGTTCCCGGAATATTCCGAAGAGTTCGCGAGTTGAACAATTATTGTAAACCATAATTTATTTGTTATTAAAGCAAAATTTATAAGTAAACAGTGATTTAATTATTGCAAAGAATAAAACTAGATACCAAACAGTTTTTTTGCTCTACAGCCCAAATGGCTCATTTGCGGACATATGTTTATATAAACAAAAATGCTTGTTTTGATGTCCCCTACTACCCCTTAAAGTTTGTCGGTATCTTTTTGGGACACCCTGTATATTGGAATTACCATTGGTCGCGGACTTTTTTGGTTTCCGGACAAGCACAGCAAGGTTTAAGTTTTTTGGGTGGCTCCGCAGCACTTTGGTCCTTTATTTGTGGTACCGATGCAGCTTCCACTTTTTCACTCACATTACCCATTGTCAGCTACAAATTTATCTACAAGGAAATTATATACAACAAGAGTATTATATGGTTCAATAATTTACCTTATTATTTTAAGAGATAAGCACAGAAATCAAGATAAAGTTTCCTCGCCAAATTTGCACTTGCACAATATTTTTTTCTATTTTGAATTAAAAATTAAATGTCATTTTTGACCTTTAAATTTTGACATTAAACCACGTGCTTCTCAAATTTGACAGCTTCCAATCTGCTGCGCTCGATAATTTTTCCTTTTAAGAGTTTAGAACACTAGAGCTACTCGCTCCGGTGAGTCGACCCGGATTTGAAACTGAAAGGAACAGATGCGCTAGCTTTCATGCATTCAAATGGTGAGTTAGGGCTTACGCACCAGGGGAAACAAACACTTTCCGAAAGGAATAAACGCGTATCGCCCCGGAACTGTTCCGGAGCTTCTCCTAGGTAGTTGTATTTTGTGTTCCTTTCACACCTAAGCTGCTTTCCAGTACGGGAGTGTGACGGTCGGAGCTACTCGGAGCGTTGAGCTCTCGAGGTATACGTATGAACAAACGTCACATGTCATTATACTGGAACGGTACAAATCTAATGCGTAGCGCTCCCGGGGTGCTCTAGAGCGCGCCAATGTGCATACCTGGAAAGCAGCTCTAGGAGGAGCTCCGGGGACGTTACACTCTTATTCCTTTCGAAAAGTGTTTGTTGCACGCATCTCTTGCTTTCAAATCGGGGCCGACGATCACCGGATCGAGTAGCTCGAGTGTTCCAAACTCTTGAAAGAACACAGTCACTGGTGTGAAAGGAAATAAAGGAATACAACTATAGCCGCTTTCCAGCTGTGTGCTTCAAGCACGGTGCAGCACAGTGTTCTGTGTTTTAAACGCAAAAGTTAGCAGTTCTCGAAGCGCAGTACAGCTGGAACACGGACACGCGCTTGAAGCATTTGCGCACGCAAAAGCTCGATTGCGTGCTCAAAATGGTCAGCTGGAAAGCGGCTTATTAAGCATGCCACATAAAAGTGACACAGGACACAGTGTTGTTCGGAACATCGGAGTGTGGATGAAGTGGTAGTGCACGGAGAGTGCAAGGATAGATACACAATACTACTACATGATAGCTTATACTCATAAGGCTTAAGCAGTTCAAATCTTAAGCCCCCGCCATGCCAAAGCACCAATAATGACGTAGCAGCATGTCGTTCCTCGCCTTGACGTAGGGTGTTTGCACCACAGGTTATGATTCCCCGGGTTTTTGCTTTCTTTATGCATACTTGGTTTTACTACATTAATTACCATTCTTAAGCCTAGTACTCATAACTGCGAAATTCGCTTTTTTTTTGACATTGCGTTGACAATTTGACGTTTTATGCGTGTATCAAACGTCAAATTGTCGAAGCAATGTCAAAAAAATGCGAATTTCGCAGTTATGAGTACTAGGCTTTAAACAGATATTTTTTAGATATCGTTTGCATGTTCCTCTTTGTCTATTATTTTAATCAAAATTAAATAATATTCTTCATCATAAATTTAAATTCTAAACTACAACCGCTGGCGCAAACAGCTGAGGACTAACCTTGCGATCGGTACTTTGCTCAAAGAACAGAGCGCGCAGAGCGGAGCCGTAATCACGTGACCAGCGAGCGCCCAGTTAAACGCTGCTCGGAGAATTTAGATCAAAACACCGAATGCACGGTTAGTTAATGACGTCGGCAGTGCTACACCAATATGGCCGCGATTACCAAAAGCCAGTGAAATGACTACGTAAATGGAATCGCACCAGCATTTATCACGCCTGAGGCAAATTTTCAATGAAATAAATGGCCGTTTGCACCGACCACTTCAAGGGAGGTATATAACGATACTCAATGTTTAAAGTGCCATTTTTACATGCAAAAATGTCACTTTAACGTTGATTATCGTTAAACTTCGCTTAAAATAGTCTGTGTAAACGGCCATAAAAGGAGTGGCCGTCTTTGTCTGTACGCATTACTGTAGGCGGACTAGGTGGACTTAATATTATACCCCACCATTGCTTGTAAACAAACATGTTCGCGTGCGACAGAGCAAACAACTCCTTTTAGTTCTCTCTACCATAAAATTTGTCTCAAAAATAGACATTCAAAGCAGCTGTTAGGTTCGTTCCAGTTACGTGTAGTATATAGTTCATTGCCAAAAACGAGGACGATAAGCAATAGTTGTGTGTATAGGGTTGCCAGACGCCCCGATTTTAACGGGACAGTCCCGATATTGGAGATTTTGTCCCATGTCCCGATGGACTATACGTCGGTACGCTAAATGTCCCGATTTCACGGAATTTTTTAAAAAGTTGGAAAAAATTAAAAGTACCTAGGTACTACTTATTTTGAATGGTGCTCGTTAATATGTTAATAATCTATTACTATTATTCATAATTATGTCAAGATTCTTTTGGTTTCAACGATAAAAATACACTAATTCATGTTCTGCACTTTAGCGATTAAAAGTACCCTTTTAATCCCTGTTTTAGCGCCAAATGATGGCAAAAAAAAAAGTGTCCCGATTTTATTGAATGTCCCGATTTTATAACAGCTTTTTGATTGGTATACCCGATTTGTAGATATTCCAATCTGGCAACCCTAGTTGTGTGTATTATCCTTGCGGAGAGTGCACGTCAGGAGTGCGTTCGAAATCAGTCTGGGCGTCACACCGAGTGCACAACAGCCGTTCGAAAATGAATTGGTATAAACTCCGGTTGACTTTCACGCTGGTTCGAAAATATCCGGGGTGCTACCCAGTGTGCACTCTTTCTTAACCAACTCTGCCGCTGGATACATTTTACTCCTGTCATTCTTGTCAGTTTTTCATTAGACATTTTAAGTTGGACCAAACACGTTAACATCTTTAAACGTAAACCCTATTTTTTACCATAGCGTCGAGTGACCGTCGGTGCTCTTAAATCAGTTTAAGTTAAATTTTCACGTAAACGTTAACGTTATATCTCACAATCATGACCTTACCTCTAAATTTTGTTGTGAAAAGGACAAATTAGAAATTATCTGGCTTTCGGGCCCACTCGGTTTAACGAACGTTTACGGATAAGGTACACGCAAAGACCCGCTAAATAACGTGACGTTATTTTTGGTGAAAAGAAACTGCGCATGCGCAGCTGTCAAATCTTACGTTAGTATTTTGTTTAACAAGTGTCTATTATTGAGGGCGAATTCTCATGAGCGTAAGTTGACATTTTTGGCGTAATCACGTGATAATATGGTGTAATTTGATTGGTAAAATCTCCAACATGTCAAATATTTTACGAATAAAACCCAACCATTTCATCACGTGATTACGCCAGAAATGTCAACTTACGCTCATGAGAATTCGCCCTTAAAATCTACTACTTTCATATTTAGGGCGGGTATTATAAAACTACTTTGAGAGTTAACTTAAAGTTAACTTCTGAAATTACATGTAATTCAAAAAGTTAACTTTAAGTTAACTGTCAAAGCACTTTTATAATACCCGCCCTTAAGCTTAGTACTCATAACTGCGAAATTCGCATTTTTTTGACATTGCTTCGACAAATTGACGTTCGATACACGCATAAAACGTCAAATTGTCAACGCAATGTCAAAAAAATGCGAATTTCGTAGTTATGAGTACTAGGCTTTAGGGCGGGTATTATAAAACTACTTTGAGAGTTAACTTAAAGTTAACTTCTGAAATTACATGTAATTCAAAAAGTTAACTTCAAGTTAACTATCAACGCAGTTTTATAATACCCGCCCTTAGTCAAATTTATTTGTTCCATTTTCCGTTTCTCGGAAGTTCTAGTTGAGAGAGTTCTCGTGCCATTCAAATTTCAAATATCGTAACGCTATTTGCGTTAACGGAGTCCGCTATCTAACGGAACTTAGCGGATGCCTTACCGTAACGCTATACTATATCAAAACTAGTTTACGCTCCATTTAGGTCTGCAAAACAGCAATTTTCTAATAATTCCTCCATAAAAAAGACCGAGGGAAAATTAATCAAGTTCAGAAATCTTCAGGATAAATGAAAATTAAAAAACAAGCAAAAAAAGTTGGGTTAGATCACTCAACTCAGCTGTCAAAATGTAAACAGAAAAACGGATTAGAGGATTTATGTGTCTTCGTGTCCGAGAACTATAAAATACCGTATTGGTAGCGGTACCGTATTAGCGTAGCGTCTGAGGCACGAAAACTTTCTAATAGTTACAAACAGATAAATGGAATGCTTATGCTTAACCTGAGGGTGACTTGCTATTGAAAAACCGACCAATAATCTTGTTAAAATCACCTTTTCTACATATAAAATCCACGAAAAAACAAGCACAACCTGAATCGCAAGCATCACGTAGAGGCCTGCGGCTGACGTCACCACTACTTAACTGCTATGCTGTTAATAGGAAAAAATCGACAAAAATTCGCTGTGGATTTAGTGCATCACCGGTTTCAAACAGCCGATAATTCCGGGTAAAGCCTTGTACTCATAACTGCGAAATTCGCACTTTTTTGACATTGCTTCGACAATTTGTCAAATTGTCGAAGCAATGTCAAAATGATGGGAATTTCGCAGTTATGAGCAGTGTTGCCACAGGTGGCCCCATATGGCCAGATCTGGGGGTCAATTCTTGAATATTTTCGCATACGAAAGTTGATTCGAATTCGAATGACAGCAACGTAAATTGACTAGGTAACGTTCGAAATCATATAAATTTTCGTATTCGAGATTATTCAAGAATTGGGTCCCTGGCCCTTTCTAAGACGGAGTGGCCCGTTGGCCACTTTTTTTCGAATCTGGCCCGTTTCTCCATAACAAGCCAAATCATAATTTTTTCATGCAAAATAAACGTTTTTGGGCGTGGCACCCGAAAAAAAATTCTGCCTCCGGCGGGCTTTCTCTCTTCTTTTTTGTTTAAAATGAGTTTGCGTGGTGCAACAAACACTTTTCGAAAGGAATAAGCGCATAACGCCCCGGAGCTGTTCCGGAGCTCCACCTAGGTGTGAAAGGAATACAACTATTCACGTGCCTGTCAAAATTTCGGAGCATATCGACGAAAAATATGACAAAATCAAACACGGCTTATGTTAATCAAAATTAAATAATATTTTCAGTAATTTAAATTGTAGGCTAGGACCGCTAGGGCAAGCAGCTGTCTGATCTCACAGAAATCACAAACCAGTCAGGTCAGAGCGAATTTCATTGGTTGAAAATAGTTAGGAAACTGTTTGTTGGCGATTCGCACCAATCAAAAACGCTCTGAAATGGTTTGCGATTTCTGTGAGAGAACAGACCTAATGACGTCGGCAATGGTGCTACATCATATTGACCGCGATTACCAAAAACGAGGCTGATAAGCAATCGTGTAGTAGTGTGTATTATCCTTGCCGCATATGTTATTTAGGGCAGGTATTATAAAACTACTTTGAGAATTAACTTAAAGTTAACTTCTGGAATTACATGTAATTCAAAAAGTTAACTTCAAGTAAACTGTCAAAGCAGTTTTATAATACCCACCCTTATTCGGGCAACCGACTGGCGACTGGCGAGGCGACTGAGCAACGCATAAACGTACAGTCGTGAGCACAAAAAGTGGGACACCCGTTTTTTCTTATTGTAAAACAGGCTCACCAGCTATACCTACGGCAATGGGTACATTCAGGCGGTCCCAGCGGCTTAGCTCAGCCTTTCAGCAAGTCAGCAGGAACTTTATTCTCGAAACCAAGGAACAGCGTTCTCATAACAACGATTACTCTGTCATTGTCAGTGTTATGCCGGACCACAAAGACAGAATCTTCGTTCCAATGAGAACGCTGTTCCTTGGTTTCGAGAATAAAGTTCCTGCTGAGTTGCTGAGAGGCTGAGCTAAGTTGCTGGGACCGCCTGAACGTTCCCATTGACAAAGATTGTCATATTTGACAAAAAATCGATAATGGCCGAGTTCTTGGGCCGAGTTCGTTTTTGTCATCTTTTTCGTCGATTTGCTCCGAAATTTTGACAGGCACGTGACTGGACAGGAAGGTTTCAATTTACAAATCATGTGTCTGTCAAAATTTCGGAGCAAATCGACGAAAAAGATAACAAAAACGAACTCGACCTGTAGAGAAAAGACTGATTTACGCAAAGTAGCCAAAAATGACAAGACCTGTCAGTCGGGTGTCCCACTTTTTGTGCTCATGACTGTACGTAATCAAGGTTAAAAACGGAACATAATTAAAGACAGCGTCATCTGTCAAGAAAAGCTAAACTATAAACGTCATAACAATAAAACGTAACCTAACTTTGTGTTTTCTATTTTCATTTTCTCGAATCAAACATCAAACTAGTCTGTATGCTGGTATTTCAATTTGAAACTGTACTTTATTATTAGCTAATAGAAAATAATTATAGATTAATTGAACAAACTGTCTCGAGTGCCTTGAGAGTGAGAATATCAAAAAAATGTCCCTATATGACGACGAATACGACACGGCGCCCCAAGAAAAAGTCCAGGGATGGTCTTCAGGGATAAAATTGCTCCAGTCTCAGTTGCAGTTGAAAAAGGCTACGGTAACGCAGCCTAAAAGGGACCAGGCACGCAAGGCGAGCCTAGCCCCCGTTATAGACCTGAAATCGAAGCGAGACGACGACGAACCAGGATTACCGCTAATTGTTCCACCATTACAGTTTAATCGGTTTGAAAAAAAGAAATTGCCAATGCTAGTGCCTACTATTACTGGTAATGCAGGTGGGATATACGGCAGTGACTATGATTGGAATGTAAGTTATGTATACAACATTGGTATGGTATAAGTATATACTATAGGGAAATTAATAAAATAATGCATGTGGGGGTCTGGGGGATCAAAATGTATGACGTTAGCATGTCGCAATGTTGCTGCATCGACTTCGTTTTACTTTGACATACTATAAAGTTTGTCATTTTCCCAGGTTACATTTATTTAACCCTTTCTGTACGGCGGGTTTTCCGAAAATTTGTGCCCTAAAGACGGAGTGTTCACCCTGCTGCATGGACAAGTGTCGACTATGTGCGACATTAAAATATTACGTAGTACTTCGGCATCAGATAATCTGCTATGGCTATCGTAGCTTGTTTTTTGTTTTTTCGCTCTTGGAACGATCCCCGAAGGACCAGCTACATTCTCTTACGACATCTTGAGCCTCACTGGCTCAAAAATACAAACGGATGTTGCATATGATCGACAGTGTCAACTATATGTGGCAATCGCCCTGGACTTGCAAGGTTTCCGGATGTCACATATTATCGACGGTGTCGACTCTGTCGACTATATGTGGCAGCCGCCTTAGCGTTTAGCATGGAGTGGAAGTATATGTTGCGACAGCAGTCTGTATGCCAAATGAAAAAATTGAATGCGTCGCATCCCAACCGACAGTTGTCCAGGAGACAGAATACATGAGCCGCTTTCGGGAGCAGAGTGCGAAGCTCCTGGAACACTTCACACCTGTCAGTGACCTGTCACTCTTCATACGTTTTGCACTCAAACGCTTGATACCGAACGGGTCAAACTGTTGCTGGAGTACTTCTGAGTAACTCGGGAGCGCTCAACAGGTGGCACCCGAAAGCAGCTATGCTGTCGAGCATATGCGACAGCCGTCTGTGTGGCACATTTCCCTGGTGTCGCATAGGCTGCGTCAGCCGTACGGAAAGGGTTAATAAATTGATAAGAATAATTAGAATACCAAAAAACGAAATTCCAAATTAATACAATTTTCTAGCAAATTAAATTATATCCCAACTATTTGACTCGTTAGAAACTGACAACAAACCTCAAAATATTAAAATTAATAACCAAAGATTTGCAGAAAGCAACTATTGATTCGGTTATATGATCCGACAGCATTCTATATCTTTTTAACTAGGGTTAAAAAAAAGAAAAAATGCGCTCTGAGTTTAAAACGAATTTTAATTTCTTACAAACTGCAATGGGCTCTTTCACTAAAATTTAAATACGTAATTTAAGTATAAAATCCCAAAGGAGGGTGTTGCAATAACTAATAAGTAAATTTAAATTTACCGCGCAAACGGCGTAGTAAACGGAAGTATGTACCGCGACAGCCAATGAAACTCTTCGTTTTATTAGTTGTTGCAACTTGTTCCGTGCGTGGCGCTGCGCAACGTCCAATGAAAAGCCTTCTCCTTGTCCAATGAAAAGTTTTCTCCCTAGAGGGGTATAGAGAATTGAAGCGACATTAGGAAATCGGGTGTCTTTCTTCAAATTCAAATCTTTATTCATGTTTTTACATATTCAGTATGTTTACGATCGTCGAAAAAGTAGTAAAATGATACATTAAGACAGGCAAAATACAATGTTTACATGAATATATAGTAATCCTACAATCTAATATACAAAACAGACACTAGTTAAAAAACTTGAGAAATAAATTCTTCAAAATTGTAAAAGGCATTACTTATTAAAATTTCCTTCTTGGCCACTTGGTCAGCCAACGTCAAAATGTATGCATCTCAGAAGAAAAGATGTTAATAAAGTGATGTCTAATCAATCAGTATTTTCATTTATTATTAAAATATACAGTCCACTGAAGTAATAATCCAGTTAAAAGTGAATTAAAAGTTGCAGTATGTGTTTTCAACTATTAAAGTCAAGAATTATAAATTATCAGTAAAACATCACGCCAGAGGGACTATTTTAGGCATATATACCAAAAAAAAATGTTCTACAAGGTTAAATAAGTTTTTTACAGGGAAAAAACCGAAATTTTGTAAAATTGTTTTTATTTTTTGCCGAGCTTATTTGAACAGCAATTTTAAAATAAAGGTCACTTCATCATTGTCACTTTTTCCTCTCTAGAAGATGGTGCTACTAAATTTAAAATCCGACGTCTTGTCTTCAGGCGGCCATCTTCAACTTACTTTTTTTAAATACGGACGATTTTTTATTTGCGATTTTGTCATCTTTGGGCATCCTAAAACCGATACTGTTTATAATTTTTCAATAACAAATTAAAAAAAGCAGGTATTTAAAAAAAAAAAAATTGATGATTCCAGAGGAACAAAAACGTTGGATTTTAAATTTAATAAGGCCATCTTGTAGAGAAGAAAAAGTGACAGTGAGAATGTGAAATTAGTTTTTCAAAATCTTTTTAAATGAAATCAGGAAAGAATTTGAAAAATATGAGAAATTCATGTTTTTTTCGTATAGTTTTGATTTTTTTCTGAATTTATTTAAAAATATTTTGAAAAACTAATTTCACATTCTCATTGTCACTTTTTCTTCTCTACAAGATGGCGGTATTAAATTTAAAATTCAACGTTTCGTTCCTCTGGAATCATCATCAATTTTTTTTTTTCAAATATGGACTTGCTTTTTTCACTGTTATTGAAAAATTATAAACATTATCGGTTTCAGGATGCCCAAAGATGACAAAATCGCAATGGGCTCTTTCACTAAAATTTAAATACATAATTTAAGTATAAAATTCCAAAGGAGGGACTATTTTAGGTATATATACCAAAAAAAAATGTTCTACAAGGTTAAATAAGTTTTTTACAGGCATTTGAATCTCGCGAAATTCAAACTTATTTAAAACGCGCCGATTTGCTGACGTCACATAAATATTCTTGATTTCGCTTATGTTGTTGCAAGGAGCTGACCGGCTCGGCTGTGTTGTGCTCTGTAAAGATACGTAAAGGTTCGAATGCGCTGTTGTCGGTTGTGACTAATGTCTGCCCAGCGACTCTGTGTCTACGGGGCAACGGTAAGGGGAATGCAGTTGTAAAAAAAAATGGCTGATTTCATTTATAAAATACCCAGCTGCGTGCAGAACTTTTTGGAAATATAATATTGTATTGCAATTCGTACACGAAAATTGACAATGACCAAATCCCCGCCACTAGATATTTCAATATAAATCGATATTCCAAGATGGGAGGATACAATGACAGGAGCTCTGGCCAATAGCGAGACGTAAGGTGACGTTAGCCCACTGACAACCGTATGGTTCCCCATGATAACGGCGATTCTGCCAAAAACTCTACCAATCAGGTTCATCCAGGCTGGATGCTTGCCAAATTGACAGAAGCTGATTTTTGGTAAATTTTCATTTTTATATTAGACAAAATTGGAGAAATCAGTTATTAAAATAATAATAGATCTAACAACCACGTTAGAATCTTTAGCGTTTCATTATTGGTATCTATATTTTGTTATTAAAAAATGGATTTTCACATGAACTATACTTCATACCTAGTATTTTTGCTTTTTTATAATTAAACGTGGCAACATCGCACATTTACGTCCGAATTCCTTCCGTAGACTCAGAACCGCTGGGCAGACAATAAATGAAGTGCAGGGTAAAATAAAGAAATAAAACTAAACATAAAAAAATTGTATTAAATTGTGTTTAAGCATAATTTAAAAAAAAAAATTATAAAATCTTGAATCCATAACTTATTAATTTAACTACTTTTCATGAGATTTTGCCAACATTTCAGAATTAAATCTGTTACAAATTTTCAATGTTGACAATTAGTGGCAACACGGTCAAATTGCGAGCTGCGACGTCATAGAAATAAATTCTGGGTTTTTATTCGGAGGTATTTTTTTTTTCTGTTTTCTCAAGAAGGTCTATGAATTTTTCAAAAGTAAAAATACAGAAAATTCTGTTTTTAGTTGCTTTATCCATATATGCCAATTTCAAAAATTAGTGAAAGAGCCCATTAAAAAATCCAGGTCCGTATTTGAAAAAAGTAAGTTGATGGCCGCCTGAAGATGAAAGGTCGAATTTCAAATTTAGTAGCACCATCTTCTAAAGGGGAAAAAGTGACAATGATGAAGTGACATTTATTTTGAAATTGCTCTAGATATAAGCCCAGGAAAAAATAAAAACGGTTTTACAAAATTTCGGATTTTTCCGAATATCTCCGGAAGTATTCGGAATCATTCTAATTTCAAAACTTTTGGTCATAAAATTCCGCATCTTTGCCATAATTTAACCAATCCCGTATCTCTTACGGTTTCCGAGATCCCAATGATGAGGTTCGAATTTGGGCCACCCTGTACACATGGTATACTTAGATTTTGGAAAGGCGTTTGGCGTTTGACAAGGTACCGCACCATCTGCTTACTCGCCAATTAAACCACTATGGCATTAAAGACAATTCACTGGAACTGCTTATAGACTGTCTAAATAATAGAAAATAACAAATGAGAGCTAATGGAGCCCTATCATCAACTCGTACTGTTCTGAGTGGGGTATGTAAACTAGAAAGAACCACTGTTCTTTCTAGTTTACATTGGCGACCTAAAAAACGCAGGGTTAGTAGAGGTAGGTACTATATACGTTTGTCAATGATACAGTCCTAATTTATGCTCTTGATGACATAGAGAATATTGAAAAAACGTTATACTGATTGGTTATTACATAATAAATTGAAAATCAATATAGATAAAACTGTATTTATGCTATTTTAGCAAAAAAATTAAATTGTACAAATTCCTTCTATAAAACTATGCACTATACAGATTAAACATGTAACAAAAACAAAATACCTAGGTCTGATGCTCATTGATCATAAACTTAGCTGGGCAAAACATTTAAGAAAGTGAGATTGTGCCAATGTTTAGGGCTTTGTATGAGGAATAAGGATAGGAATTATCTCTCATATAAAAGTAAACTAGATGTATACTTACAGTGTTTTCTTCTTAATGCACTTTAGATATCTGATTACGGTGTGGGGGACGCGTGGAATTGTGAGTCTAAATTCAATGCAAATCTTG